AGACGGACACTCAGACAGGAAGTGACATCACAGGACTTAGACGGAGGAACAAACCGTAGCGTCTGCATGAGGAGTGTGAGCTGTAAATGCTGGATGTGTGTGAAGGTCAGCAGGGGCTCCACACACACACGTGTGTATATATATATATCTCTGGCTCTGGGTGGCCACAGTCCTCCACTGCAGCTTGGTCCTACATTAATTCCAGAGGAGCGCTACCCTGTACCAACATGGCGGCTCTATTGACGCACTCCCACTGATAGACTACAGCAGCAGGGTATGAGAGATCTAGTGTACATATCTCTGTGCTCTCCTGTGTTCATGTATCCGCTCTCCTCTAACACTGATCACTCCTGATTTATTGATCATCGTCTCACACTGCATGAGTACACACACACACACACACACACTCCTGGTGCTCTGTCCTGTCTCTGCTGTGGTCACTGCAGCTGTTCTCTGAGCTCTACACAGCGGGGTTGCAGCTTAAATTAAAAACATCTCCTGAAACGCTGTCGTCTGCTCATTACTGCATCAACACCCAACAGCCAGAGGAGCCACTATTGACCATATTTGGATCAGTCATGAATATTAATGAGCTCTGCTCTGATGCAGCACACACACACACACACACACACACACACACTCTCTGCTGAGCCTCATTCTGATGTGTTTTCAGGACAGTACATCACAGGGGGATGAGCCTGTAGCGTTTCTCTTCAGTTCTGAGTCCACATGCAGAGCTGCAGGGGTTAATATGTGTGATGTACATGTGTGGTGTTGTCGTCAGCACATTCAGCTGTGTGAAGAACAGAGTTCATGAGAATATTTCCTTCATTCGGGTCTAGGATGAGTTATGTAGTGTTCTCTTTATGTTTAGAGCCGTGTGTGAACTCTTCAGACTAACGCTGACCTGTTTTCCTCCTCATCTGCTGTGGATAAAGGCTGAATTATACTGGACAGAGAGAGCGATAGAGATGCACCGCATTATAATTTTAAACTCTAATTTAAAAAAGCGTCCATGAATGAGTATCAGCCTCTGCGTGAACAGATGAGCTGATGATCCGACACTGGTCAGCATCTACATTCACAATTAACAGCATAAATAAGCAGAACACACAGGTGAACACACAGGAGAACACACAGGTGAACACACAGGTGAACACACAGGTGAACACACAGGTGAACACACAGGTGAACACACAGGTGAACACACAGGTGAACACACAGGAGAACACACAGGTGAACACACAGGTGAACACACCTTCTGGCGGAGCTGATGAAATGCTCCATCTGTATATTCTGCATTCTGATGGGAGTTGTGCACATTAATGATCCGGGAGCTTCATATCAGTCTGTGTTCTCCTGATGACGGCTGCTCGTCACGTCCGGTTAAATTGACCTAAAATACATGCAAATGATGAGGGCGTGGCCTGTGAGAGTCTGACAGTCTGCTGCGTGTTCTGATTGGCCCGTTGTCCCCCAGGGTTTTAATTTACATGAGAATGAGGAAACAGCGGCGTCTGAGGCTCAGAGTCTGGCCTTTCACTGAGGCTTTAAGACCTGACCTGTTTTAATTTGACCCATTCTGCAGACCTGTAAACCATGCTCAGTTATGACAACATTACAGTTTTAAACACTTCTCAGATTAAAGACAGGGTGGAAATGTAGAGGCGGTGTGTGTAAATGAGCAGAGAGAGACACCAGTAGAAACAAACAACGGCTTTATTACTCTTCCCCTCACAGACAGAAGACATGTTTGACAGCGCACTGCAGGATGTGAGACCAGGTTAAGTGTGTTTGGGTTTATCTGAGGAGCTCCAGTGAAGCAGACAGATCTAGGGCACTCGCTAGTGCTCCATGGGCTCATCAGGAACAGCCGGAGCCGCTTCATCAGCTGGCAGAGCGACCTGCAGGAGAACAACACCGTCAGCAGCATAGAGACAATAACATACATAACGACAATGAACATAGCGAGCATTAAACACATCACCAGTGTTGAGTGTTACCAGCGCATCACGAGCGTTATGAGCGCATCACGAGCATTATAAGCGAATCACGAGCGTTATAAGCGCATCACGAGGGTTATGAGCGCATCACGAGCGTTATAAGCGCATCACGAGCGTTATAAGCGCATCACGAGGGTTATGAGCGCATCACGAGCGTTATAAGCGCATCACGAGGGTTATGAGTGCATCACGAGCGTTATGAGCGCATCACGAGCGTTATGAGCGCATCACGAGCGTTATAAGCGCATCACGAGGGTTATGAGCGCATCACGAGCGTTATGAGCGCATCACGAGCGTTATGAGCACATCACGAGCGTTATGAGCGCATCACGAGCGCATCACGAGGGTTATGAGTGCATCACGTGCATTATAAGCGTATCACGAGCGTTATGAGTGCAACACGAGCATTATAAGCGCATCACGAGCGTTATGAGCGCATCACGAGCGTTATAAGCGCATCACGAGCGTTATAAGCGCATCACGAGGGTTATGAGCGCATCACGAGCGTTATAAGCGCATCACGAGGGTTATGAGCGCATCACGAGCGTTATAAGCGCATCACGAGCGTTATAAGCGCATCACGAGGGTTATGAGCGCATCACGAGCGTTATAAGCGCATCACGAGGGTTATGAGCGCATCACGAGCGTTATGAGTGCATCACGAGCGTTATGAGCGCATCACGAGCGTTATGAGCGCATCACGAGCGTTATAAGCGCATCACGAGCGTTATGAGCGCATCACGAGCGTTATGAGCGCATCACGAGCGTTATAAGCGCATCACGAGCGTTATGAGCGCATCACGAGCGCATCACGAGCGTTATGAGTGCAACACGAGCATTATAAGCGCATCACGAGCGTTATGAGTGCATCAAGAGGGTTATGAGCGCATCACGAGCGTTATAAGCGCATCACGAGCGTTATGAGCGCATCACGAGCGTTATGAGCGCATCACGAGCGTTATAAGCGCATCACGAGCGTTATGAGCGCATCACGAGCGCATCACGAGCGTTATGAGTGCATCACGAGCGTTATGAGCGCATCACGAGCGTTATGAGCGCATCACGAGCGTTATAAGCGCA